GATCGACGTCGACCTTTGTTACCTTCTCGTAATGAATCTCTTCGGGCATATTTGCGTTAGTCCACCTTCCAAGCTAGATTTATGGTTATCAAACACAGATTCAGCGGATAGAAGATACTGAAACCACCCACCGGCATACAACGTCTGGCCGTTTGATCACATCGCATAGAGTCTCTGAGTCGAACTCCAGGGATCATGTAAGTGTTCCAATCTATGTGATCTACGTGCTGCATCGGCAGAACCTGTATTCTCGTGGATTTCAGGGTCGCGGTCGTGTGCTCGGGATTCATCTGAAGGTGTGCTGTTGGATGCAAGGCGGGTGGATCGACGAGTGGGGTGTGCCGGTGGAGGTAGTTTGCTGGGGGTTATCGAAGAAGGTGCAAATCGGACTGCAGGGGTATGGGGTCGATTTCGGAAGAAGGACGCAATTGAGGGTTGGATTCTGAAGAGGGAACAATGGTGTACTCGAAATACCGCTTCAGAGTTTGTGCTCGGGACCACTCTTTACGTACTCGATGCGGAGTCAAGACAATGGTGGCAGGATTTACTGGTTCAATGACTGGCAAATGCGCATGCGCAGTGGCTTTGTCGATTCCTGGATCCTTGGGCAGCCGATACCGAGCTTTGAGCTGGTGCTTCGAGACTTCCAGAGCCGTGCACTGGCGTGAGTAGAATCTGTCTTGTGAGCCGATGCCACCAACAATCCGATAAGACCGCGCAGGTGTGGAATGTGGGTGGTACATCGGGGAGAGTGAGGGCTGAGCCCGCAAGGTGAGTCTCCACCGTTGACTTCGACTCGAGAACAGCGCGTCCATCCCTCTTCATTGAGTCGTAAAGGAATGTCTCGTCCCCAGCGCGAACTCGACAGATGTAATGGCCTTGCTCCAGCGAGAAAGACCTACGGCCTTGGATTTCGTAGCTGCATTATTTGTTCAGTTAATCATCATAGAAACAAACACGAATGAAGCACTTATCGAAATGATGGGTCGTCATTGAACGAATGAATCACCGAGGGGAAGTTACACAGACCTGCAAGTACCTCCGATGATGTATCACCGCTTCACTGCACATCGAACACAAGGATGATTGGCGGCTGTAGAACAAGGTGCGCAATAGTTGCACTACCGGTGCAAAGCGGCTCTCCTGACTCGTACACAGTGCGGAAACACTGGCGCATGGAGCGAGGCTGCTGATTGACGTTGCACCGGTCTTGAACAAGCCTGTAGATATCACCATCATAGTCCATCACGTCTTCTAACCCAAGCTCCCAACGGAACTTCTGAGTAGACTGGCTAGAGGTGCGATGGTGCGGAACCCCGTTGGAATGATCGGATCCAGAGCATAAACTGAGCTCAATCGAAATCCTCCGCAAGAGTCTGGGCGGGCCAAGGAGTCGATCCTGTCGAGAAGAGCTCCTGTGACTCATTGCCCTGAGAGAGCCAGTCCTACAGTTGACAACCACAGACAATGTCAGTCACAGTCTCAAACAATGTTATAGGTGACCAGAACTCACCGTAAGGTTAAAATAATCTCGATGCGGATCCTCAGCACCGAGCAGCTTCTGACGGAGTAAATCAGGAGCATGTGTCGATCTGATGCCTCGCGCAGACTGCTGCACTTCAGCTCAAGGTCCCGCCTCGAAATGAAGTGTTCGATGATTTGATACCAAGGAAGACTCTTGTGAAGGCAGTCTGACAAACAGACTTTTGCTGCCTTCATATATTCCTCGTCGCCGATCAGTGCCATGTAGATAAGGTGTAGCATGGCGTCGAACCAGCACAAAGCATTCTTCCACCGATAGGAATAGCACGAGACGTCGGGGTTTGGAGGGACAGTGGGGGATATTACTGGTTGAAGAGCAACCTGTACGGCCGTCTCTGTTGCTTTGCGATCTTTTGCTTTAGTCTTCTGCGCTTGTTGGATCTTCGTAGTGGCTTTCTTCTTCGCCTCCGCCGAAGCTTTGGGGTTATCATCATACCTGACCTGGTGCCGGAGACCACTTGGATGATATGGGTGTGTAGTTCCGTGTTTCCCCACCGCATCTTCACATTGGTCGCCACTGCCATAGAATGTTTTTGCGCCCGCTAAACAAAAGGATTAAGAATGCAAAACAAGTTGTAGGCCGAGTCAAGGAACGCCTGCCTTGCTCAAACAATTGACCTCCGCTGATGGGCTAAGCCTGACGCAAGAGTCTTGACGCGGCGCGACATAGTTCACACCAGTACACAGAGTCTTGAACATCGTGTACATCAGTGTAACGCAAAAAGTACCCTCGTGTAACCTCGTGTAACAGTGGACGTGCAGTGTACATGAAGCACTTTGCTCGTGTACACATCTCTGACATTCGTGTAACCAATGTATCACTTGTGTACCACTCGTGTACCGAGTGTACCCATTCGTGTATTACCTAGACAATGTATATCATGTCCTGAAAAGCGATCAGATTTGCCAGTGTGGAGGGGTTGGGTTGCAATTGGCCAAGATCTAGAGTCTAGACGGAGAGTAGTGTACTCCGAGTTGTGTCATGTGTAACTGAGAGCATTAGATAAAAACAGGTAGAGCTGAGTGCAAGGCTGGGGGAGTATGGTATAGCGGTGCTTGACGTGGGATGTAATTCATCTATGCGT